AAGCCGAGATAATGGGCACCAGAGGTGCCGCTTGAATATTGAAGATTCCGCGCTGAACACTGCGGGACTGGGTAGACACCAAGGAAAATATCAACAAGTTCGACGGCCCACAGACCAGTAATACGTTTAAGGGGCAAGGTGCTAAATGGAAATTCCCTTTGCGCATGAATTTGTCACTTTCACGAAGGACGTGCGCCGTGAAGAAGAGGTAACTTTTTTCTTACAGTGTACAATAAATTCTAAACTAAAATTGTATGGTTTTAAGTACTTGAGTACTGGGCTGATGATCCAGTACATGAAGGATTACCAACCTCGTTGGCTGAAAGAAAAAACCTTTTACAGTACAAAAGCCTCAGTACACGAAAAAGAAAGCGGTTGACCTGCACGACACGCACGGGTAGCGTGTCGTAAGGTTTTGGAACGAGTACAAGTCGTTTCCACTAAGAGCTATCTACAACGTTGACGATACAGCAGTTTATTTTGACATGCCTCCTTTCAAAATTTGGGCTGAATGTTGGAAATCCGTTGCTTGCGCCATTTGCGATCGGTACAATGGCGCCAACAATGACCTGCGATCAGCACAGTGACATCGATAACTTACGAAGACGACAGCAACGACCTCTCCAGCCGCCTCTTGTACCAAGACATGAAAGTTTCATGATGAAACTACTACATACTTAACTCTACATAACTACATTTAGGCTACGCTTAAGATTCTAGTAGATTAGTCATCCCGAAATATACTTGGTGCGAGGCACCACATGAAGAAGAGACCTTGATCTTCGGGAATTGAGCAACCATTAGGTTATGAGCTCAACTTGCCATTGCTCTACATTTACCAGTGACGACTCCAACGACTCGCGAGGCGACCTTGACCAAGAATCAGCTGCTGCACGGGGTGTGGACAGTTTTAAAGAAGAAGTTGGTGATTTACGAACAAATTTGTCTGGCCTGTTCGACGAACTACGCTTTGACCAATTAGATCAAGAAGCCATGGAGCCACATGACCAACTTCAGCTTATCCTTCGACTACAAAGTGAACTCAGCGAAATGAAGAAATTATTGAGCGCCCGAACACCGGCTTCCGTTGACTTGCCTGATGTTAGCATGGAAACTGCACCTCCTTCACCTAAGAAACAAAAATCAAAGACGTTCGCTGTTCGAACTTCAAGGGAAATGATATTTATCCTGGACTTGGAGCTGGTTTTGAAAACTTCATACACGAGTTTGAACACGCAATTCACACCGAAGAACTGGTAAACGGCTCAACCTGGACGAACGACCTTAAAGTTTCGGTGATCGTCAATTTTCTCGAAGGTAAGGCGTCAAGATATTATCATAAGAAAAACTCGGAGTGGCAACGACGCCATGATAATGCAAACACGCCATATGCAGATATGAAGCGCGCGATGCGTGCAGAGTTCGGCTGCAAACTAAGCCGATTGGAACTTAGTACCAAGATGAAATGTAACAAGCGTGAAGGTGATTTGTGGCACGAATACTTGGAGTATTTGAATTTCATTGAGAGTCTTATGGAAGGAGGTCAGACTAAGATGGTAATGGAAGTCTTTGGTAACAACGCGTGTCCTGACTTAGCCCCTACTCTCTTGGCGTCCGTGCCCGATGATACTCAAGATTACATTGCGGAAACAGATCGAATGAAGCGTCTACTGTACAAACTACGTGGAGATGGCAGGAAATTTGGCACCAAGCGAGATGATCGTAAAACCCGCAATAGTGACCGACCCAACCATAGTTCACACAACGATCGTAGTCACGATCGCAACAATCGTAAGAATGATGATCACAGTTACCGTAACCCGCGGAATAACAACGACAACTCTGAACAAACGCTCCCGTCAACAAATTAATGGCCAAGTATTTGCCGCTGCTGCTGGAAATCGAGATGAAATACGATGTCACGTGTGCGGCCAGCCTGGGCACAAAAGGTTTACGTGCCCAATTGTTGAACAAGCCAAGAAGTTGCCCTCCAGAAGTGGTAGCGTAAACATTGCTGTAAGTGAAGATGGAAGTCAAACATCGGTTGCCTCCATTGGTGAATTTGGAGATACGGAAATTCAATCGACTATCGATTCTGATGATGAAGCACACGTGTGGATGGCTGCTTCCGAACAATATGGAAGTTCTAACAAAACTACCGCTGGACCTTGGACTGTTGGTTCTGGAGCAACACACCACCTTTGTACTGATCGAGAACAACTATTCGCCTTGGAGCCTGCTTTTCTCACAGTCAAGGTAGCAAATGGTATTCGTGTTGTATCTACCGAGCGTGGCAGCACTTTAATTACAGTAACCGCTAATAGAGAAAGAAGCTTGTGCTACTGAAACATGTTTACTACGCCTAGGGCATTGATCAAAACTTGATATCGGTTATCCAGCTGGACAGGGATAATCATGCGAGTTCGGCAAGTGGATTTTTGTATGAATTGTGCTGAGGCCAAACAAGATCGACGAACTAAAACCAAGCAAGACACGTCCACATCGGCACCAACCGATGAACCTGGTGCTACACTATGGGTTGACCTAAAGGTTGCCATGGCACACGATAGGCTTGGTCATAAGCACATCTTAACTATTGTTGACCACGCTATAAACTACAATCGTGTGTACTTGCTCCGCAAGAAGAGTGAACGCACGATCACAGAGAGTACAGCGCGGATCCAAGCTCTCTTCACGGACATCGACATCCTCACTGTGGATTGAACGGATCTCCGACGTGAACTTCGTCGGACTCTGCGCATACTTGGTCAGATCGATCGCCAACGCCATGGGAGCATAACCACCGACCACCTGGTTGAGTCTTGGATTCGAGTCGGATCAAAATCCTCTAAGCAATAATGACGGAGGTGCGTCATCCAAAGATCCCGACTCCGATTCTCCACCCACATGCCAGCTGGATCGAAATCACTTGAAGGTGGTAAGGATCCGCCCACTGACGGATCTGGCTCCCCTTCGAAGAAGGGCCCCAAGCGTTCGCGTAGTCTGGCTTCTTCTTCCAGCCCCAGTCGCCTTTCCAAGCGCAAATCGCAACACCTAGAGGACAATGATGACGAGGATCTGGCTGAAGAACCAGCAGATATCGACATGGGTGGCGGATCTCCGCATGATGATGACCTAGGCGATGATGAGTCTGGCGGCAAGGATCGCAGGAAGGATCCAGATCCGGACTCGTCTTCTTCGTTTGATCCACTAGATGCCACTCAAGAACTCGGTAGGTCCGGTAACTCGAGCAGCGATAATACACCGTCGAAACGCAAGCCTGAGGGATCCGCACCAGAGCCACAGGATGATGGCCCTCAACCGCAGATCTTGGATCTTACTGGTGGTGACAAAGATACCAAGGATTAAGCCGCAGACGACGACGAAGATCATGAAGATACTTCAGATCCGGACAATTCTGCTCCCTCTACCAATCATGAGACTGAGGAGGTCGAGAACTATATGTTCGAAGAAGGCACCCTTCGAGCCTTTGCCCAATCGAGATCCGCGCAACGTCGGCGTGATCACGCATCTCCGTGTCGTACCGGTGCTAGTGGAGGGGGTGATCCGGGGGATGACGGATCTGGCGACGACGGTGATGATGTTCCAGATCCTTGTGCCGATCTGCCTGCTGGTAATCGTCCGCCTTCTAATCCAGCTATGCTTCCCCAGGATTCACTCGCCGATAACCTGTACATTCCAGGGCGCACCCAGATCCGTGTGTTTTCGGCGGCCGACATTGATCCCTGGGTGCTGGATGATCTGAGTCGATGGACGATCATGGCGATGACGGTGGATCTTCTTGCGACTGCTCTGCCTTGTCGACCCAAGTGGATCTACCCTCATCATACGCCACGATCTCGACCTCCCTCGGATGCAGATTACGGCGCTCATCTGATCACCGCAGATGACATCGAGGCTCTCAACGACGAGTCCCCCTGGGAGATCCTCGGTGGGGGTAATGTGGCAGACCCGATTTGCGTCGAGATTCTGGTGGGCGACCGCCTTGACGTCTTCCTGGAAGAATATTCGCAGTTGGAGATCCGAGACTTCGTCGCGTACTGGAAATCTACGCACAAGCTCCCGATCATCAAGCGCATGTGTGCGGATCATCCATGCCTGGAGGCTCTCTGCAAGGCGCGCAGCAATCGGCGATCACACGCCGGCGATCGTTGGCGCAGGATCTTGCTCATCTTCGTGCTGACCATGCAAGAAGGTTGGTGCGATCTCGATCTCCTGCTGGATCCCTTCTTTCTCCACTTCCCCAAGAGATCAGACGAGGTGACTTGATATTCAGGCCTTGAAGCCCGTCCCACTGGTCGGCCGGATCCTGCCAACTTGATTGAAGCACTTGTCGATTGTGACAAAGCGGATCCGTGGCAAAACCATTACCGCAGCTCTACAGCGGATCATCCTGCGCATCGGATCCCTCGGCTGGTGGAGAAGTTCTTCGGAATTGAGATTACTTGACACAACTCACATCCGGATCCCGACGCACCTGCTGATCCTGAGGCGCTCGTCGGCTCCGACACTTTAGCAAATCTGTGCTCCTCCTGCTAATATATGTCTTCTTTCATTTTATTTCACTGATCATTTCACACTTATTCCCGCAGAGTCTATAATTCGCGATCCGCCTCCACATCATCTCGGATCTCGATCTTTGTAGTTTCGGCACATCGTAATATATCCATATATGGAGATATTATTTATATACACCTATCTTCCTCCGATCCGCAGCCTTCCTGCGGATCCTTCATCCTAGCTTTCTCGCATTAGCGACCAGCTCAACTATGCGGATTTTGCCTTTAGGCCTCTTCGTGAGATTGCATCGATTCTGATTGGCGCGATCCCGCAAGAACTCGTGGAGTATCGCTCCACAGTTGAGATCTACCTCATCGATCCAGGTCGGATCCTCGTACCCGCGCCAGTGTACTAGGAATTCACGCAGAATCCGACCATATCTTCCTACCGGTCCTTATATCCGAGATCCTTTCAACCTCTTACTCGTCCGGATCGCGATCTTGAATCAAGCTATCTCCAGGAAAAAGTGCTTCGTCGAAATCCAGCCGATCTTGATCTTGCGTCGTAAGTCGTATTACCGGCCGATCCGGAAATTCTCTGACAGGCTTGATCTTTGACACGTGGACCACGGGGAAGATGTTGTATGCGAATCCGGCGATCTCGAGTTTCACCGCGTACTCGCCGATCTTTTCGGCCACACGTAAAGCGCCATGCCACAAGCTTTTTGACATATCCCTCTCGCACAATCCTTTCCGCGGATCCGTACGCCTTGGATCTATATGCCATTGTTGCACGTTGACGCTGATCCAGGGTTTTGTAAAACGCGCGAAAGAAATCGGACATAAATCCGGGTACACGATCATGGCGGATCACCTCGCTGGCACCAAATCGGCGGAACACACATTCCTCGTAGGATTCTGCCACAGTCTGAGCCATCCTGGATCCGCTCGCTTTGGCGATCACGTTTCCGTAGAAAATATCTTCGAAGATCAACAACGTAGTGTTAGCTTTATATGATCTGGACAATGAGGGGATGTGATCCATAGCGATGATCTGAAATGGATAAGTAGCTTGAAGATTACCCGGCGATTCGCCCTGGGTCCGGGGTCGCCCTTTTCCAGTCTCGCAATCCTTACACTCCCCGACATATCTTTGCACGCTCCGGTACAATCCTCTCCAGTGAAAATGATCCCGGATCCGATCGTAAGTACGGCCGATCTCCTAATGTCCACATTGGAGGCTGGTATGATAATGGTGTAGAACATCCTGATGCAACGTGTCAGGTAACACTAGTCGCATCGGTTTGTCCCGATCCGCAGCTGATTCTTTCGTAGTGGGGCAATAGAAAAGGAGATCATGCTGATCCACTTCATAATTCATGACAATGGATCCGCGATATTTGGCCTCTTCCTGTGTCAGATCGCGTACTTCACCAGTCAATTATTTCGTCACACTGTGGATTCACGCTTCTCGTCCTGTGCCTGTCGGATCCGCTCGATCCTGAGCCTTTGATCACTTCCTTGCACAGTACCGAGGGGTTGGATCCCGATCTCACGCCAGATCTAGCCTTCGATCTAGTTGTAACGGCTGAGATCTGCGCTGTCGGATCCTCAGATTTCACCACCAATATTTCGTCCAGTCGGTTCAATGTGATCAGATCCTGGATCTCGCTATCGGTTTCGATCTCGACTCCACATTGTCGTTGCAATGCAGCACTAGCCAGACTACCTGCGCTCCCGTTCCAATCTCGCTTCACATGTACCAACTCATGGCCCGCCCGGATCTGCAGTCTGTTCAACGCTTTCTGTCTTAACAGTGTCAATCGAGGTGCCTTGCAGTCGATCTCACCTCTAACTTGGCGGATCAACAAGTTTGAGTCGCCACCGATAACCAGTCGTAGCATTTCCGTTCCCTCTAGCAAGTCAAGAATTAACTAAAGCCCATGATATTCGGCCTTATTGACAGTTAAACCTTCGGCATAGTCGGATCTGGTCTTCACCAGAGTCCACTGAGGTAATTTCCACAGGATCACTCTGTAGGTGCCTCCACCTCGCTTGACGCTGGCGGATCCGGCGAATCAGGCGACATACAGATCCTCTCTTGCATCTCGGCTCCTTCTTCGGGGCGATTGAGATCAGCGCTTTGTCGACTTTGGATCTGGGAGTGATACTGGCTGCTAATGTGCCCAGGATCTCATCCTCGCCCTTGCTACACTTGACGATCTCGAGGATCGAGGGTGAAACCAACGCGGCCCACTGTCCCAGGCGATCTGGTAATGCATTGGATCTCAATAACGAAGTTAGTGTAGAATGTCGCGTCAGCACTCGGATCGGCCTCCCAACTAAAGTATTATAGTTGAGATCCAGGATCCGCAACAATGCTAAACTTCTTTCTCCGGAATCCCGTAGTTTAATTCGTTGGACTTCAACGTACGGCTCGCAAACATCACTGGATAGTAGATCTGATCATACTCCTGCATCAGTGCACCGGAGATCGCCCAATCACTGGCATACACAACCACCACAGCCTGTCGAACCGGATCGAAGTGCCTCAGGATCAGCGTCTTCGCGATCTTCTCCTTTAGCACCTTGACGGATCTGTGAGCATGAATCCACCAGGTATCCAGATCAGTAAAAATGTCCTTCTCGGAATTCGACACCTTCACGCAGTCAGGCATCGGATCCCGTGTCACTAGGTTCGGATCTTGCGTGCTAAGTTCGGGATCCGGACCCCGCAGATCAGTATCCGACGATTGCGGACTCGTCGGATCCTTAGTCAATATGAATGAATCCGGGGATTCCGATGCTAGTGCTAGATGGATCCAGCCTTGATTCATGCCCTTCTCCATCGCAGCATAGTCGATCTCCCTCAACTCATACAGCACAGACGCGTAAATCGCGTAATCTTCGATGAAGCGAATGTAATAGTTCAGGCTGCACAACAAGGATTACATGGCAGGCAGGGATCCGGGAAACTTGAGATCCGTCAACGTCGACAGATCCTTCGGATTCACCTCCAGTCCATTGGGCGATACATTGTGACCGAGATATTCCATCTTGGGTATGCCCCAGAAACTCTTGACAACGCTGATCGACATGTTCCATTTGTCGCACGCCTCCAGCAGATCTTCAACTCGGTCGCATAGCTGACCCCAATTATCTGCTGGCACTACGATGACGTCGATATAGGATCTGCGTCCTAACACCGATGGCTTACCCGGATCTTCAGGTTCTCCAGCTTCGAATACATCTAGACGTTCCAGATCACCTGCCATTTTCGGGATCCGAGTGAACCCATACCGGGCATTGTCGATCATCCGCTGGTAGATCTGCGGAGCATTCTTCAGCCCAAAAGGCATCCGATTCCACTCGACCAGTCCAAATGGGGTGATAAAGACCGAGGTCAGGCGGGCCCGATCCGTCATCTTCACCACCCAAAAACCACTCGTCATATTCAGTGAGCAATACCATAGTGTAGACTTCAGATCCTCCAGTAGATCGTTGATCAACGGCATCGGGTAAGCCATCAGCTGCGTCAGACTGTTAATCCTGTTAATCAACCGATAATCAATACACAATTTTATATTCACACCGTTCTTCTTAATGATCACGACGATCGGGGATGCCAATGGCGATCTTGAGTGGTTAATCATCTTCGCTGACAGGAGACCCTTGATCAGCTCTGCCAACTTCTCTCGGAACTGGATCCGCAGCTTACGGCACTTAAGCGCGATCAGCCGAGATCCGCATTTCCCTTGCCGATCAGGAGATGTCGGATCTTCCAGATCCGCTGACGGAGTCGGTAGATTTTTCCGGCGTCTGATTGTCGGATCCGCACAATTGGATATCCTCGATCCTCACATCTTCCGTCGTTATTGGGACTTTGGGCAGTACCGCTAGTTGTCCGTCGACATCTTCGGCGTAGAGATCGCTGCCTTCGGGGTAATACACGCATTCGTCGTAATCCTGATCCGAGTCCCAAGTGCGATCCAGATCCTAGGTGTCAGGTTGATCTTCAAGAACAGCCGCCGGATCCTCATTCTTTTTCTGCGTCATAGACTCGGCATCGTTCTGGTCTAGCGGATCACCCAACTTATGGCCCGTTCCAGATTCTACACCCACCAATGATGATGGGTGTGACCCATCACCATTCAACATCGCCATCTTCGTATCTTGGACTTCTCGGGCTGTCGGATCTTGATCCGCGCCGTTGTACCACTTAGAACGTCGTTCGCCAATACGGTTTCCGAGGTTGAATCTTCGGCAAGGGCTGGATCCACCGCTATAATATCTGATACGCTCGGATCCTGATCGTCCAGCGCTTTCACGACTGTCACGACATGTGACATATAGTCGTCATCTGCGATAGACGACAGATCCTACTCATCGCTTGCGACAGACGCCACATCCAACGGTTGACAATCCGGTGGCAGATTGTCCGACAGCGGGTTATCAGAAGACGGGGGGACAAAGACCTCTTGATCTCCACCTGATCCGCCCTTCAGACACTTGATCGCCGTCGGTCTTGACCGTTGCAGTAATTCACGCAGGGTTTCATACTCGGGACGCTTCACCTCAAGCATATGCGGATCTTCTGCATTCGGGGAGGACCCGGGTCAGCAGATCGGGGGTCCACGGCCGCTTCCAGGGCCAGGTTTTGCCGTTCTAGATAGCGCCGGGACCCTACTGAGATGAAACCCGGCAGTCGCGGGACATGATCGCCGGCCAGCCAGATCCCGATCCGCAGGTCCTGATGGAGGATCAGTACCTTGTCGCCGACGTTCGTGACCTTCAGGCATGGGATCTTCCCTGGTCCGTTGACTATCGTGGGGACCCAATGGCCTCCACGGCTGACCCAGAATTGCTCATGATCCGAGGTTCTCAGGCGTAAAGTGAGCTCCACTGATTGTTCCGACTGGATTCTCAGGTATTGTCCAAGATTCACGATCCTGGCCTTGTCGCTGTAAAGCTGTCCCCTTCCGCTAAGCTGGATCCGGACTTCGTCGGGCAAGCTGCTGGATCCTTGGGCGACATCCAGGCGGATCCCGGCCGGAACCATGAAGTCCACGCCTAGGATAGATTCTTGGCCAGAGAGATGTCCTACCCAGATATCGAAGAAATAGACCAACGATCCTGCGAGAGTCACCTTGATCCGCGTTCTTCCTTCTGTTCGATACACGTTGTCGCCGATCCCCACACAATCTTGGATCTGAGTAGAGTCGATGTAGCATCTAACCTTACGAGCAAAGGTGGTGTCCAGAATGGACACCTCGGCACCAGTATCTAGGAGTAAGATCGTCTTCTCATTGTGGATCTTGCCGACGATCTTGGCTTGACGGAACCACTTAGCAGGAGTGTGGTGAAGTCGGTGAAACTTTCACCCCTTGGCGTACAGTGCT